GCGGTAGCGCAAGACCCTTTTATCATGTATCATTGGAGGAGTCTGCTCTAGCTGCCGTAGGCTACTATGCAATGAGCTGGGATCTATTTAGGGATGCATTCATGCAGAGCCCCAGTGTGGCTTGTAAGCCGTAGCTTACTACCATACCAAAAATTACTCCGGGAGTGGAGTGGGAGCGATGCTTAAAGCACCGTGTGATAGCCAAGCTCGTTTAGCGTTGACCATCGCTGAAAATGCCAGCGCCTTATCACTTCACTAAGTCCAGCGAAGGGATATTTGAGAATTGCATAAAAAATTCATACCCAATTAAGAACGAGCGAATTTCTTTTAAACATAAGTGCGTGTGTTTGTTCGCTGCACTTGGTTTTAGGCGGGAGTGCAATACAAGTGCGTGTGTGTGTTCGCTGCACTTGGTTTATGCGGGAAATGCATAAGTCGCTTAAACATCTTGGCCCCCCTAGACGACTTGATCGTCTAGTGGACTGCATCATAGCCGCGGGTGATCCGGCTCGAGGACCATGTTTAGCTGAGGGAGAGCGGTTTAGAGTTCTGGTCGGGTTAGAGTAGTAGAGGAGGTAGGGATTACCTTTGCGAGTGTTTATGTACCGAGCTCAATGAGCCCGTATGGTGTATAGGTGCAGATCAAGGCAACCACGCACTCCATATGCTTGCTATGCGGGAGAGAGTGAGATATGCGGGCAGGCTGATTAAGCGCTAGCGCAAGATGTGACACTTTTCCCATGTATCAATTGGGGGACTCCATTGGACGAGTCATGCTCTAGCTGCCGTAGGCTGCTGTGCAATGAGCTGGGATCTATTCAGGGATGCATTCATGCAGAGCCCCAGTGTGGCTTGTAAGCAGTAGCTTACTACCATACCAAAAATTACTCCCGGAGTGGAGTGGCAGCGATGCTTAAAGCACCGTGTGATAGCCAAACTGGTTTAGCGTTGACCATCGCTGAAAACGCCAGCGACTTATCACTTCACTAAGTTCAGCGAAGAGATATTTGAGAATTGCATAAAAAATGCACACCCAATTAAGAACGAGAGAATTACTTTTAAACATAAGTGCGTGTGTTTGTTCGCTGCGCTTGGTTTTGGGCGGGAGTGCAATACAAGTGCGTGTGTGTGTTCGCTGCACTTGGTTTATGCGGGAAATGCATAAGTCGCTTAAACAATTTTTAATCCAATATATGGAAACAAATTTGGATTTCGCAAACGATAAGTAAGAATATTTGAATTATGCCTACAAATGTATGTACATATGTAATACTTATAAAGTTAAAGTATGCAATTCAAGATTTATATCTGCTGGTGGAGCAAAGAAAAAAGAGAGTGTTTGGCCGGATCTGGCCATTACGCTAAATGCATTGGGTGGTGCTCAAAATGGCGCAAATATTGTTGTGACTCATGGATGAACAAGACTTATTTACCCCTATTTTTGGGTTCCGATCGGTTCGTATTTATGTTTTTTAAATTTTAACATTTTAATAGGCTTGTCCGATCTTGCATCCTTTAGTGCAAATAAAACAAAGTTATTCCACTATTGTTGCCCAACGTTTTGCTAAAGTCGTTAGCATCCTCAGGGGCTGGTTGTTTATTTTCACTGTATCAACAATAAGTACAAAAATTACAAATATGCATTAACGTTTGACAAAAATTACATAAGGAACATACATGTATGACGTGCATATGAATATATAAGTAGCAAATGAATTATACTATTTTACTACTTACACAAATATTTAATTAAAGCTTAATTTTACTTCGGTACCATCTATTGTGGTAGTCAATACTGGTAATTACTAAAATTCGTCATAAAAATAAAATGTATGCAGCAGCAATGTCATCGGTGTCTTCTTTCTTGTTTATTGTTTTTTCTCTTTTTTGCATTATTCTTAGGCTCTCCAGTGTATACCTTGTCTTTTCTCTTTTTTCCTTGTCTATTATTATTGTGATTGCAAAGTAGTAGTTATTTGTTGTGATAGTGCTGTATTGGTTTTGTGTTTTTTTATGGCTGCCTGGTGTTCTGCTAGTCGAACGCTGAGAGCGCGTTTTGTTGTTCCTATATATATTTTATTACAGGCTTTGTTTTCTTTGCCTTTACATGTTATTTCGTAAACTACGTTGTTCTGTTGTTTGGGCTTTTTGTTTTTGTGTAAATCGTGGATAAAGTGTTATTGGACTTGTAGGTGAGAGTGATATTTTGTTTTGTAGCCAAGTCGCGATCACGGTTTTCGGATAGTTTGGGGATGTATGTTATGCTGTGGCATTGTTTT